CATGTGGAGGCTTGAGGGGAGGATCCTTGCATTTTCCAGCTTTTACAGATACCCACGCTCCCTCCCTGCTCCAGAACAGCAGTGCTTCCTCTCCCCGACCTTTCTTCCATACCCACATGTCCCTCCCACTACAGGCAGGGAACCTTCTCTGATCTTAAGGATTTAATAATTACACTGGATCCACCCAGATAATCCAGAACAGTCTCCCCATCACTTAACCCTAATCTCACCTGCCATGGAAATTAAGATACTGTTAAATTCTAGGGATTAGGGCACAGAGAACTTTCGAGGGGCTGATACTCTGCCTCCCATAATGGCATAAAGAATATCCATCCCTGTAGGCATTCTAACTCCTAATCATGCTCCCTGTGCTCCTCACTGCTGTCCCCCTCCCTAGACAAATTTAAGTCAACCCTGCACTGGCGTTCTACCCCAGAAGGTTACAGCCAGTATCGGTTGTCACAGTAATTCTGTGTAACAAGCAGTGACGTACACTGCAGAGGCATATTTTTTGCTTCTAAATCTATGGTTCAGCTGGGCAGTTCTGCTGACCTCGGCCAGTCTGCTGACCTTGGTGGGGCCTCCTCAGTGTCTGCAGTCACTTGTCAGGTTGCGGGAGGGACCTAGATGGGACAGGTGGGCTGACTTCCATCTGCTCCCTGTGGTTCTGGGTCATGGCAGAGGCAGGGGTCCACGAGAGAGCAGAAGTGTGCAAGGCCTCTTAAGGCCTGGGATGGGGACTTCGACTGCACATTGTCACTTTCCCCCCGCATCCTTTTGGCCAAAACAAATCACAAGGCCAGTCTAGCCTCAAGGAGTGTGGGAAGAAGGGAACCTAGAGTTGGTAAAGATATGGAAGCATGGAAGGATGGAGAATGGGACTCCTCCTGCAGTTTATCTACTCAGAGGCACTCAGCATCTTAATATGAATTTGTGCCACCTTTTGAGAATCTGAGTAGAATTTTCTCTCAAGCCTAAATACAAAGACAAACTCTGCCCCTGAGCTTCTGGTGTGGTTATGGCCACATGATTGTACCTCACCTTGGACATGAAATCAGGGTGGGCCAGGTTGGTCTTTGGAAGGAAGACTCCCTGGTGTATGGATATTTGGTGTATGGTGAGCTTATCTTCTAGCACCCATGCTAGCACTAGGCACCTAGTAGGTATTAAAAGATTACTGAAGGAATGGTTTTGTCTGATGAATAATGCAAATATTGTAACTTACCACATTTCTTGTTTCCTTTAAATCTGGAATTCTCAGAGACAAATCGGTAATAGGTTAGGATTTCTGGGTGCAAACTCTAAATGTGACTTTATTTCACTATTCTGATTGATGTTTCCATTACCCTGATTTCATTTTCTGTTTACTTTTATAACTGTAGGTAATTTGGCTATCTCAGATCCTTTTTAGAATGACCTGCACCGAAAACAAACAAAGTTTCCAACCTATAGAGCTGATAAAGAATTAGCTTCTCAACAGGTGAAGTCTTAAGGCCATGTATACTGAAGCAGTTGCCAGTTTCACTGATTTTCTAGGTTTGGTGGCATTGTGTGAGAGAAAACACACACACAAACTGAATCAGCTATTTAACGACTCTACCATTTTCTGTCTGTGTGTACATGGGCAAGTCATGTCACCCATTTGAGCCCATCTGTAAAATAGAAAGGGTAATAATTAATAATAATAATAATAATAATAATGCCAGCATAATGGGGTGATTTCAAGGCCCAAAGAATACAAAGGATAGCCCCAAGTACAGTGGCTGGGACTATGGAAGCCTTGATCAGTAATGGTGGGGATGGGCTCTGGGGACATCCTAAGACTTGGCTCCTTTCTTCCACCCGTTTTGGCTGACTGACGAGTCATCTGTCCCGGGCACAAGAAGGACAAATTCAGCTGGTGCAGACATGAAGGTACCAAGGTTACCGAAGGTGGCGGACTTCTCCCCCCCTGGGTGACAGTCGTCTGTAATAAATCATTTAGCCCTCCCTTTCATTCTCCATTTCCTATAGAAGAGGACATTTCCAGGAGATTCCTTTGCTAAATGGGAATTTGATCCAGGAAAGAACTCATGAACGTGAGCTAACAATGCCCGGCTGTTCACTGGGCTCATTGTCACAAGGCCAAGCGGAGAGTCTTGCTTCCTTCCCCCTTCTGCCTGCACTGAGCGGACCAAGGCTCCCTTCTCATACATTTTACCCTGATTTCCTTCTCATAAGTCTTTTGGGGCAAAGAAAAAAAAAAAACAGTGGGATTGGGGGATTATTGACTTCTCCCACTAGGACTGGCTATGGAAAGGGAGCCACTGGTCAGAACCAGTCTTGTGCTCCCAACCCCCTGCCCCATTGACCCTTGTGTTCTGGTCATTAGAGAACAAGGCAGAGAACAGGGTGTATGTAAATGGAGAAAGGTTTGGAGCAGCCTACTTGCTGGAGGGCCAGGCAACAGGGAAGAGGCCCACAGGGCCTGGGAGAGGGGGCTTTCATCCCCAGACAGAAACAGGACGGGTCCTAAACTGGCTCAGGCTTGCAGCTCTGTACAATTAATTTTATATGCAAGTTTTCAGTCTCTTGCTTGTAAGGGATGACCTCATACGACACATCCCTATGGCCTCCCCACTCCTCGCCTGTCTCACACAAAACCCCACTCATATGTACACACAGTATAGACAAGCAACGAATGTTATGACTCTGAAGTCTTGTTTTCACTTTCAAGGATTGAATATCACTTGCTTTGGAGGAATAGAGGTAGAAACAAGCTAAAATGAACATAATTGATGTTTTGAAATGTGTAAAAATAAAAACAGGCTTTAGAATTTCCCATTAAGCTTCCTGTGATCCCTGTACATCAGAGGAATGCAGAGACAACAACCAAGTCCACTCTCTGGTAGGATCTGTGCTGTTCAAGCTTCCTCATCTAAAGGAAAGCTGATGAACATTTCACTCCAAGAGAAAACGCTTCTCATTTTGTGCATCAGTAGTAGGTGAAAGTATAATTTTGAGGACTTTTCACCTTTAAGCTCCCTTGAAGAAAGATGTTTCACCTCCAAGGAGCTGATCCTGCTACCCTACGCAAACAGAGGAGATTGCTGTTATTTAAGGAAATTCAGTTCTAAAGATCACAATCCTTCTGGGACTCAAAACTTTCAATTTAACCTCGTTTAGGTTCTCACTATCGGTACACAAAATGATTTTTGTTTTTCTCTTTGAGAACGTTTAGTTCAGATCGCTTCTGTCCAGTGTGAATGGAGCCTCTGTTATGGGCTAGACATTTCGGTAGGTGCCGGCAGCAGGATACTAGACCAGCCTCCCTACCTTCAGGGCTCCACAGTCTACCAGATTCCAACACGCTTTGGGAATTGCTGTGACAGAGCCATTCTGTGGAAAACTGTTACTCTTCCTTGCCTTTTCACTAGATGGGCAGTCATGGAAGTAAGTGAAGGGTTTTCTGTGTTTAAAACTAATGATGAGAACTTCCTCAAATCCACAGACTGAATTGTGTTCAGTTTTTTTTTTTTTTAAATCCACGGACTGAATTGTGTTCAGTTTTTTTTTTCCCCAAATCCCCAGGTGGTAGAAATGTTGCTTCCTAAGTTCTCTGAGGCCTCTATCCACACCCAGGTTCTAACAGTATTTGGGGATTTTTATCAGATTGGGTTTTGGAGAGGATTTGTGTCTACATGTATATGGAGGTTTGCAGTGAAGAAGGAGGAGGAGAAGAGCAGCAGTTGTAAGAGAAATCCCTATAAATTTTTTTTAAAATAATGTTGCCTCTGGGGCGCCTGCCTTTGGTCGTGATCCCAGGGTCCTGGGATCGAGCCCCGTGTTGGGCCCCCTGCTCAGCGGGGAGCCTGCTTCTCCCTCTCCCGCTCCCCCTGCTTGTGCTCTCTCTCTCTCTCTCTCTTTCTCTGTCAAATAAATAAAATCTTTAAAAAATAATAATAATGTTGCCTCACTGAAGGCACATGAAACTGGAGAAAGACCTTCTCCGCTACAAATGTTAGCAATAGGGACATGCGTAACATAATAACGATGATCTTATGAGTTGTCACACCACTAGTTCTAAGGTGGGGCATTCGCAGTAGTGACCAGACGCATTATTTTGTGATGTGTCTAATACAAAATGACACCGTGAAAAGCCTTGCAATTGATGTGACTCTCATTCTCCGTGAGGGAGCTCAAGTATGGACCCACTGTGTCGCTTTCTGTCTCTGTCGAGAGAGTCTGTGTAGAAGGAGATAGATTTCTATTTCTGTTACATGTGAATATATTTTCTTCTGAATTTATATACGAATCCTCCTTAATTTGATTAGTAACCAATGACTGTGACTTGGAATAAACTGGCGTTATCAGTGGATATTCCTAAAAGATCATAAAAGCTTAGTTACCTCCAGATTTTGAAAGTTGTACATGCAGCTAATTTTATGATAATTCTTGTCACAGGTGTAATCTTGGCATAATATATACATTGGATTCAGCCATGTCCTTGTTGCAGTGAAAATAAAATAGAAACCATTATTAAAGTATGTACCAATACATAACGTGTTAGAGTATGAAAGAAAAAAGCAACAATACATCTTCCCCTACACACAGCCTGGAGTTACAGGATGCATTACAAGGGTCTCCATTTGGTTTTGTCTGCAGCGCATCAGGGATAGATAAGTAAGCCCGACGATTAGAACATGGGGTTACCTCTGCTACTTTGAGATGCCCTCAGACCTGACTCCATGCCATCTGCCATCTAGGGTCGCCTGCTCCTTTATTTATTTGGGATCACAGGGCCTTTTGCCTGTGTTGATGTGATGAGTTGGGCGCATGAGGTATTCTGTCCGCGGTGGAAGTGACAGCCGCCTGGATGGGGACCGATGTCACAGAGAGTACCCCACTGCTGTCATCTTTGCCTTACACTTCCCATTATCCTGGGTCTGACTGTTTACTGGAAATACCAGCTTTCTATAGCCTAAAGACAGTGAGACTATCTTATGTGGTGCACTTTAGAAACTGTTGCGATGCCCTGGAGGGCATCCTAGCTGTTGTCCTAAATTGGGATGACAGTGTTGCTCATATTAAATTGCCTTCTCGCTTGGCTCGGCATGCTGGGATCCATATCTGTTAATGCAGGAGTGTCCAAATGTCCTGCTAGGAAAGCAATTTGTTCCTCGGTAGGGCGTCAGGGAAGCAGCTGGTCTAAGAAGCCTTCAGAGGTGATGTTAGGGGCAAGTTGTGTTTTTCTTGATTTAATGGAAAATCTCACGGATCCATTGCCTCACCTGTCCTCACCACTTGCCAACAAGGCAGCACATATCCATCTTCAGCCCCCTCCTTTCCATCCCTACGAGCCTGGCATTGCCATCCTGTGGAGAGTCAGTCCTCCGCAGAGCCTGGGCTTCACGATAGACAGTCTGACAACAACAAACACATCATTAATGGGTTTTGTTTTTTTTTTAACGCGCTGGGGAGGCAGCACAATTTGGAGACATTCAGTTAAATATCACACTTGAACTCCACTCTGGTTTTTTTCAAAAGCACCTCCCCAAGGAGAACTTCTGTACACACACCATATCAACACCTGCCCCCCACATCCCTCCCGCCTTACCACCCAAGCCCAACGAAGTTACTTTCTTGAAGGAAGCGCACGAAATTCAAGGTGCCCGCTTGCATGGCTGTTCCGCCGGCGTGTATGTTCAATGACGAGCTCCCAACCGGACGTCAAGAGCAATGACCGGACACCAAGTTCATGTTCACTGTGTGCCACGGACGCTTGTCTTGAAGTGTCTGATGAGCAAGGAATGTTCACGTTGGCTCTGACGGGAAGGATCTCTTGTGGCCCCAGTAACCAGACCGAGAGGCCTGATAATCCAGAGACGGAACAGACCTTCCAAATGGGCCGTGGTTGCATTGGCGCCCCCTGCCTGCCATCAGGGCGTGCACGTTAGAAATGTGTATGATAAAGCGTGGCAGTCTTAACATTCATGGGAAATCCAGCATTCTTTAAAATATGGCAGGGATGTTGTACGAAGCGCACAGTTGGAAGCAAGGTCCGTGTCTCCGAAGGCAGGTTATTTCGTTTTTTGTTCAAATATAAAAATGGCATGTTTAATACTCAAGAAGAAAGAGAGCTTCCCCAGGACAACTACTGTGTCTTTAATGCACTCTTTTGTGCAGTTGAATTTCTGGATGATTTTTATGGGACTTTATTACAAAATTTGTCAGACCTAACAAATTCTTTGAAATGGAAAGTACGTCCTTCCATAGTACAAAATGATTGTGTTTAGGCAAATGAGTAATAAATTATTCATATGCCGCTACTGTTTATCATTCTCTTACTCATCATTCTGTCCAGAAGCGGAGGCCTCCTGTTTCGTCAAACCAACCAAGACTCACCCCTGCCTCTAGACTGTCTTGTAAGAATCAGCGCCTATGGCTGTCATCACTTTGAGATCCTACAGAGAACTAACTCATTTTGGTCCAAGGCTTAATAAGCGATTGCACACGTAGTAAAAGCGACCGGTAAACACTCCTTGATTGGTAATCAGCCCAGTCATATTTTTTGTGTCTGACTATGCCTTGCAGTCCATTTTGACAAGCACTTCTAGGGGCAGACCCTACATCAGATACTAGGTTACCTGATCAACCACTGGTACTAAGCTTTGCATTTAGCGAAACAAAGATGATTGTGAAGAGTTTGTGCAGTCTTTATGTTAAATGTCTTCACTACCTTTGCATTTTGGTGAAGACCAATTTTCTCATAAGTTAAATCTACATTAAACATTGGATTCCTCTTTTTACAGTCACTGGGGTATTTTGAAGAGCCATCTGTAAATTCCTGAGCCTACTTACAAAGATGTTTTCCAAGTCACCAATTAAATAAGACCCAGAACCCGAAACTGCAGGGCAACCTTAGCCGTAACCTTCTCTGTTGATGTTTAGCTAATTAATAAACTTTAGGTATGGTCAGGTTTTGTTTTTCTCCTCATAGAATATGTTAGAATAAAGAATTGATATTTTTTTTTTAGATTTGCATAGATAGAGAAGCCAGGAAAGTGAAGAAAGCCCGTAAGGGTTTCAACCCATCATTAAAAATTTGTCTTGGAGGCCCCTCGGTACGGCCTGTGAACTGTGTACCTACCCACCTACCTAGAGCAACATCACGAGACATGGCCAGGCTCTCCGTGAGATTCTTACTCGGCAAAGCTTCTACCCGACTGTTCCTTCCCTGCCACCCCACCCCTGTCCACTTCTGCTTTTTGACCTTGCTGGCCACTCCACCTTAGAAAGAAATTAAGTCAGTTTAGGTGGGTCTTGCCTTTGCTAAATCCCCTCCAGTTGGTACCAAACCCCGTTCTCTTTAAGCTGGTTTCAGATGGCTCGATACCATGTTCTTGTTCCAGTCCTGGGTAGAGGCAGGAGACTAAGACTGAGACCTCATTGAAAGGCATCATTCTGTTTGCTCTGGATTCTCCAAGGTACTGGGAGAAGGAGCTCATCCACTCTGCCATATGTGGAATCTTCTTGAGTATACCACAGCAGCTCACCTTATTAAGATTGTAAAGGAACCTCTGAAAGATATGCACATACCTTTTTAAGTCCCTTCCCTGTAAGTGTGCTCTCTCAAGTACCTCCTCACGCCTGGCTGTCCCTGATCTGCAGCCCTTATGGGTCCTGCCTGGGGTCAGCCCACCCGGGTCTGATCATACCGACTCCACCCAAACTGTCGGCACGTCCCTTCATTCTGGGCGTTCCAAAGTTGCTAGGGAGATACGTTAATATTCTGATACTCAGTCAATGTTACGAGACCAATAGTCGAAGTCTGGAGGACACACTTAGTACCCTTCCTTAGTACCCTTCCTTCGGAGTCGCATGTATCTGCATTTTACTAGAGACTCCCATCTCTCATCATTTAGAGACATCCTAATGATATTTTCCTCTAGATGGGAAAGGGAGATGGCCCCATCAGGCCGGGGGAGATATTTCAGGTGAGCAGGATTTGGGGGTGAACCTCGAACAGCACCCGATACGTCACTGGGCGTGTTGCGTCTGAGCAGCCTCATCCCTGGGTCCCACATGCTGTCAGGCCTGACGTGGACTGTAGGGCCAGGAAGGCCCAGCCACCAGCAGCCAGGCCTCCCTTGTCCTTCTAAGCCTGGTTTCGTGCAGGTAGCATATGTCTCAACGAACAAGGCCACAGCTCTGTCCTTCCCTGGTAGAACCCATCCCCATGCGAACTCCCATCCTCTTTCCAGTTTCCAGAGCCACAACCTGCACCCCCGTCTTCCTCCCTCCAGGTGTGGAGGGGCAAGCCCCCCGTCCTCTGGGCTTAGCCATTCTGCACCCTCCACGACCAGCGCCGCCTCCCTCGGTCAGCCTGCACTCCCAAAGCAAGACCTGGGCATGGGGCCTTTGTCCTTGCATTCTGACAGTGGATTGACTGTAAATGTTCCTGTCTCCCAGGTCTCCAGAGAAGGAGTTTTTCCTTTACTTGCATCTGGCCACGAGTGCAGTCCTCAGAGTGTGTGTGCTCAGCCATTGGTGTGGACAGAGATTTCTTGTACTCAGCCGCCCTCCCCTACAGCCTCCCCGCGGTGTGGCAGGCTGCTCGGGGAGCTGCTTCCCATCTGATTCAGTTCGCCGGACTTTCCTGGGGGCCCGTTCTGTGCAAGGCCCCCTGCCAGGGCACTGTGGATGGGTGCAGATGCTCGGGAGAGCAAGGGGGGCACAGTGCCTGCCGTGCAGGAGGCTGAGCTCCGGTGGAAAGGGGGCTTGGGGACCGGGCAGCGGGCACAGGGAGGGCCACCCCGGCTCCGGCACAGGGCCTGCCAGCCCACCTCCAGGGAGGTTGGCTGAGCTAAGCTGGGTTCAGGGCATGTGGTTGTGAGGACATGGTGCCAACAGAGAAGCAGCCATGCTCTTGGGCTCTTTCCCAGAGAGTAGCTCTGCCCCTGGGACTGTCACTTGGGTTCCTGTCTCACCCAGAACACCCTGTCCGCCCAGGTGGAGATAGCGCCTGGCTCTCCGGAGGCGGCACCGGGCCTCCCTGTCCAGCTGTTTCTGGGCCCTTCTCCTGAGCATCCAGTAGGCGCTGCGTGAAGCCCTCTCATCCACAAGCAGCAGGACTGAGTGGCCCCAACCGTGTCTGAGGGTGGCCAGACCAGTGGGATGGGGGCCAGTCTCACCTTCATGCCCCTCTAGGGCCCTCTCCCGCCCCGGTGCTCAGTTGCCAGAGAGCGAGGCAATGACTGTCCCCACGTCCACCCCAGCCCCAGGCCCATGGCTTTCCTCTATGGCGTCCTGAGATCCCGACTCTCACAGCCAAGTCTCTCTCCAGCTCGAAACCACAGAGCTGCCAACTTCTGTCAGGTTCATCCTTCCTTGGGAAAGAATCAGCTTTTAGATCTCACATATTTGGAAATAATTACAGATACACGGGGTGTTGTAAAGGTAACACCGAGGGGTCCCAGCGGTGGCAACATCTTCCCTAACTATAGTACAATATCAAAACCATGAAACTGACCTCGTTAGCATGTGTGTGTCTAGTTCTGTGTCATCAGATCACGCGTGTGGATTTGTGTAACTACCACCTCAACCCTTGATTCCACTTCGTCACGGTGCGGCCGGGTGCTTACCAAAGCAGAATTCCATGAGATGGAAAGATTCAGTGGTTCTGAGGCACGGCGGTAGCACCTTAGGAGTTACCAAACTTCGCAATTCTAGATCAGCCCGTGCTCTCAGATCCATCAAGATTGGTCAGAACAAATGGACTAAATAAATATGTCAATCACCTGGAACTCTGCCCCTACCAAATAGACTCACCCTGAGCAATCACAAGTCGGTGATTGAAAATGTGCTCTGAGGTGACCATTTTGCTCCCATGTTGCTGACAGAAATACTTGTTCTGAGCAGCACTTTCCCAAGTCAGACTCTGGCGAAACCTGTCTGCTCCACATCACTCCAGTTGAAGTCAACACTGCTACTACAAACTCCATGATATTACGTGTTTTTCATTAAGGAGAAAGAAATCCGTCGTTCAACCTGTGGATTAAATGTGACTTTTTAGAATGAGACATAAAATGAGAATAAGTCCCTCAAAGCATCAACTTGATTTTCATAATAAATGCGTCCATTGAAATGGCAGCGTTTTCAAGAGTCATGTTTCTGCACTTTCCTTCTTCAGCTCACATCTTTGAAATGCTGGTAATGACCTGGTCTAAGGTCACGTGGGGGAAAACGGCACGAGTTTGGCATTGCATTAGCGGTATCTAAATGAAGCTTCTGAAAAGCTCAGTTGATGGTTATGTTTAATAATTACATGCAGTACTTGCAGGTCATTGAGATAAATCACATAATGTTGAACTTCACAGTCTTAGGGGGAGAAAAAATTATCTCCTTTGCCAGAGATTATCAGGTTATTAATTTTTTTCAGTGCATGTGTGAAAAGCCATTAGCCTTTTTTTTCTTTTCCTTAAATATCTAGCTCTACCAGGTGATGGTACTTAAGCAGTGGTAATTTTCATTGGGCAAAATTACATTAGAAGAATTTCAAGTCCTGTCAAGGTGAAAGCTAACCAGTTAGTAAGTAGGTGCCATCAGATTTATAAGCAGTGGATGAGTATGTAGAAGTCTCGAAATTCTCCAAATGGCAATGTGATTTTCTAATTTAATCTGTATTTATCCCATACTCAGATCAGTGTTAAACAGAGAATTCCTTTTACTTATTATGGCAGCCCAGTGAAATATCGCTTCCAATCAAACACAAG